AATATAATTTTAGTTCATTATCGGTCAAGTGTTTAAAACCCTAAAAACGCAGTGTTAAACGTCACGAAAATTCAACGAAATTCAAACACGACCTTGTATGCCTTTGACGTGAATTTGAAGAAAGTAGAAAAATAACATAATTTCTCGAGAATTTGAACTGACTCTTGGTTGACATAAAATTTTTGGTCCGTAATCGATCAAGTGTTTAAAGTCCTATAAACACAATGTTAAACGTCACGAAAATTCAATAAAATTCAAACACGACCTTAAAGACCTTTAACATGAATTTGAGGAAAACAGAAAAAAAAACATAATTTCGCAAGAATTTGACATGAAGCTTGGCGGGCATAAAAAATTTTATCCGTAATCGGTGAGGTGTTTAAAACCCTGTAAATGCAATGTTGGACGTAGCAAAAATTCAATGAAATTCAAACACGACCTTGTAGGTCTTTAACACGAATTTGCAGAAAGTAGAAAATAGCATAATGTCACGAGAATTTGAATGACAAACCGCAAATCGAATTTTGTTCATGTGACAAATGTTTTTGTCAAAAAATGAATAACAAACCGCAAATCGAAAAGCTGGAATCCAAACGGCAAATCGTGAGTCAATTTCCAAAATCTCAAAATTGTGAAGTGAAAAACCGCAAAGTACATTGGAAAAGATCGAGAAAACAAAAATGTTGGTCACACGTGTCTGGCCGCGAACTGTGACCTACTGTTGTACAAATTTATAAAAATTTACAAGCCGCTAACGACTAACTCAGATAATCTGCTGAACAGCGACAAAAGGAAACCTTCCCTGATGCGGAAGTAGAAATGATCTCGATCTTGATAACTCTCTGCCAACCTCCGAAGCAATCGGTTCCTAGAAGGTCTTCCTAGTCGACATCCTTCATTGCCATGGAATTTAACATCTCAGAGATCTTTTATCTGGTCTGCGAGAAAAGGGTCATGTCTGTCTCCAGTTGGAAGTTGTAACAAAGAACGCCGCAGCTCCAGTCATAGACGTCCTCAGAAGGCTTTCTTGTAGTTTTTCGTTGAGGTTTGTCTTGAACTCAGGATAGTAACCCTCTCCTTTCTCACGCTGTGCAAACCAAGAAACTTTGAATCGTTTACCTGCTAGCAATTCGGCAACCTTGCCAATGTGGTAAGGTTTGCCTCTCTCTTCCTGCCCTAAACAAACTCGTAATGCGATGAAAGTGTTGACCTCGAGATCGTCGTACTTTCCGTCTCTGTCCTCTCGAAATTGTCTGCTCTTGCGTGCGCCGATGTAGATGGGTCTCTTAAGAGGGAAAATATCATCCCAGCGTTGGTCAAAGCTATTAGCGGTTGGTGAAAATTCTTCACCTGCTCTGTTGACATCGGTCGTTACAGAGGGCCACGTGAAAGGGTCTTTGAGGTTTGTGTCCTCAAGGTCGAGAGTTTCTTGTGTTGTTATGAACTGATTCCACAATTCAGTGTTGTGGGGTTGAGCATAATGCGACAAGGCATGTACTTTGGCTTTCAAGGCAGCGATGAAAAGTACATCATCGTCAACCTTGAATTTCGAAGATCCTCCCGCTTTTCGATTACGGACATTACCTTCACTGCTGATGACCTTATCACACCTCTCGTCCTCACCCCGACGAGTAAGTCAATATCTTGCTTCCAAAGATCGGATTGCATGCTTTGGCGACGCTTGAACTTGTCCTGTTGACTCTGACTTGAAGATGTTCAGACCTTCTCTATCGTTCCACTGCCACTGCGAATTATGATATTGCTTGCTCCAAATGCGCACTTCCCCGTCGTCGTTGCGTTTGATTTGGAAATGTTGGTTGAAGCTAATATCATCAACTTTCAGTCCATTGTTTCCGTCATCTCTTCAACGTGCACGCCATGTGCAACCAGCTTTCTCGAGAAACAGCTGAACATTTGGTCGATGTTCCTATGCGTGTGACCTACAAGAAGAACGTTTAACTTAACTTTACTAAACACTCTCATTTTCATCAAGAACACGAGATATGACAACACAAATTTGTTCTTGTTCTCTTTCGAAGTGTTATCAAGTGTAAGATACAGGACTCTCGGAAATAGTACAGGAAGTTGAGAAATCTGACGATGAAGAACAGTTTGAATGCAATTAGAATCTGATTTGAAGTTGTCAAAGAAAACAGTTGCAAAGGCGTTCGATGAAAGTCCTAGCACCTTAAACCCAACCACGTGAACTTTTACAAAGTTCCCTTCTTTTAGTTTCAAATCCTTTGGAACCCTCATGAAGTGTGGCAGTATAGTCTTGCTTTGATCCATCCCGTCGATGATCATTGCGACGTACTGTGACGGATGGCTTGAAGCCTTGTGGCGATGCTTACAGAGTTTTTGTCTCTCTTCTGCTTGCATTAACCGGTGCTTCTCTAGTGCCTTGCCAAACATTTCTGCGTAAAAAACAAACCAAACGGTTACTTTGTCAAAACATGTTGAACTTGAAAAAAAGAGACCAAGCCCGATGAAGAGCCTTAAAATTGAAAGCAATGATTAGACAAAGTG